GAGAGAGAGAGAGAGAGAGGGAGGGAGGGAGGGAGGGAGGGAGAACGCTTTCTCTGTGAACTTTTTCTCTAATGCTTCCTCCTCCTCTTGGCCTGGCAGATCTTCCCTGGAGCCGAAGGATGGCCATTGCCCAAGTACCTGGGCTCCTGTGGCCGATTCCTGGTCAGCACCAGCACCAGCCTGCTGCAGGAATTCTATGGTGCACCCCCAGATCAGGCTGCTGACCTGGCCTACCAGCTCCTCAGGATCCTGGAGTCTCTGAGAAACAACGATTTGAACTACTTCCTCTACTTCACCCATGTGGATGCCACCATGTTTGGCATTTTTAACAACGGGCATCTGTTCATCCGGGATGCCAGTGCCCTGGGTGTCATCGACAAGCAGGAAGGTACTCAGCATGGGCCTGGCTGACCAACTGTCAGAGAGGAAGTCAGAGTGACAGGAGCTTGGAGGGGTGCCCGGGAGTAGTGCCATTGGGCCTTTCCAGACTCCATATGTCATAGTGAGAGCAGCCCAAGTTCATATCAGATGTCCCTCTCCCGCTTTAGAATCCTTGCTTCAACTCCAACTCCAAAGGGGAACTGGCCTTGACCTTGTCCATGGGGGGCATTTTGCATCATGGCATGGCCTCAAGGGCAATGCTTTTGTCCAATTCAATCTGTGTGGCCCAGGGACCCCTGCCCTTCTTCATACACACACCACTTCTGGATCCATCTCCCTCTCAGAGCCTTTCTCATCAGATGCTTTCAGCCTTTATCTGAAACTTAATTATCTGGCTGATTAACTCGTGTATTTTGCAGTCCATTTTGGCACCTTTGCTTTTTATAAAGTTTCCAATTAAAAAGCATGGCACTACATGAGGTATCTAAGTGAATCACGTTTTTCACTATGTGCACAGACTCACCAGGGGTTTTGGAGCCCTTTGAGCATCCCAATCTCTAACGGTAACCAAATGTTATGAGCCCAATGACAGGACAGAGGATTTTTTTATATGAGAAGGCCTACAAAGATAGATCAATTAAATCACACTAAATCATTTCCTGGTTTGCTTTTATTAGAAGTGAGGTTGATTTCAGAATATTCAGGATATGTAAACCACTGAATGTCAGTCCCACAATAACCCATTGAATGTATATTCTGGATTACCTGTTCTTTCTCCTGACTTTGTATTTAAAAAGGACAAATAAAATGGGTCATAGTAATTTCCTGAGTTCCCTAATCCGGTAGTAAGAATGGGAGAATGGTAATATGGAGGTGAGTCCTACAGTTATAAGCCCAACTTCTAGTAGGGATAAGGGTGTTTTCCATGTCTGGCCTCAACCTATTGTAGCAGAGAGAGTTCTTCCCACATTGTTCTTATCAGGGGCCATTCTGTTCCTGAGCCCTAAATCTCCTGGTGACAGGATATGCTAGGAGACTAAACCACTTTTCCCAGCAATTCTAATTAGTGACATCTCCCTCAAAGAGAGCAAGTTGTAGGATGTGTAACATTTCATGTTTCTCTTCTAGGCAGCCAAGCAGCCTCCAGGGCAGGAGAGAATAAAGACATCTTTAGCTGCCTGGTTACTGGCTGCCAGGCCGAGCTGCCCTCCTGTGACACCATCCCTGAGAAGCAGAGCCTGGTGCTGGTGTGTCGGCAGGTGCTGCCTCAACTTCTCCAGGGGAAGTTCCCCTCTCCGGTGCAGGAGCAGATAGATGTCCTCCTGGCCAAGTGTGGGGAGGGCACCAGCCCAGACCCTGAAGTCCTTGGGGTTGCCAGCCAGCTGAAAGATATCTTGAGATCCCTGAGAACCTGTGACCCCAGATTTGCTTACCGCTACCCAGACTGCAAGTATAACGATAAGTTCTGAGGGGTTGGAACCTGGCTGGCCCCCAGGGACAACATCCTTGGTTCTCCACTTCCCAGATGGGTTGTTGCAAGTTTGAAAGAAACAGCTGTTTCAGACATTACGAGAAATGCACATTTATTTCCCAGGGACTAATGAACATTCCAATGACCAGAGGGCAGTTGTGCAACACAGTGTCATTGCACTTGCTGGCTGGAACATCACAAAAGAGCCAGGAATGGGCAACAGATGATCCAGGTGTGGGCACCCATTCAACCTCTGAGCCTCTGTTTCCTCTGTTCTCCACCAGACTCTCGAGTTAATGAAAGAAGACAGAGATGTGAAGAGCCAGGGTAATATGCTTCCTACTGGCTATAAAGTGTGTTTAGAAGTATACACAGGCATGGTGAACGAGACAGAATAGTGGAGGTTAGGAGGATGGCAAGAAGAGTGAGATCTCTGGCCAGTAGCATGTTAGGCTAGACTCAGACAAAAGGGCCCTCTTCCTGCTCCCTGTGCTCCTGAGCTAGTCCTCCAGTCACACTCCCCACACCACCTCAGGGTAAGAAAACTGCAGGCCAAGGGTGCACATGGATAAGACCATGCCCTGGGCACCTGGGGTCCCATACAGGTTCGAGTGAAGCACCACATGGTGTGGAAAGGAGCCAAAGGTAAGAAGGGAGGAATGGGCTGGAGGCTAATGTGTTCAACCAGATCCTCTGAGAAGCAAGTGTCAAGACAAGATAAAACAATGAAGGATCATATTAAGAAAGATGCCTGTGTATGAGGAAAGGAGTGAACCAGAGTCAGCTGAGAGAGCCAGCAGGCCCAGCTACAAGCCTGAGTCCAAAGGTTCGGTGGAAGTATCCTAGGCTCTCTTTTACACAATGGGAACATGCTTTGGCAAGGTTGTCACGGTGTCCTTGAGCCAAAGCTAGCCATCAGATGAGCCTCAAGTCTCCAAGAATGGGCAGCTATACCCCTGCTATAGGAAACAACCCACAGAGGATGTGGCCTTGGCCCAACCGCTAACATGGATTTTAAAGCTCTGCGCAGGGCATCTAGCCAGTTCCACTCCCTGGAGCAAGAGGTCTGTGAGTAGAACATTCTCATTGTAGCCACAGCTGGATCCGGGTCAGCTCTCTACACACTGAGGCCTCTAATGTAGAACTCTAAGAAGTCTGAGAATTTTCATTCAAACTTCACCTAAATTTTTTTTCAAGGTCAGCCAACAAAACATATTTTATCAAATGTTTGTTAGTTTGCTTTATACCTTTTAAGTATTATCTCCATGGTATGTGGGCCCCCATGTATATTCTTGCCCCGGCCTCTCATTAGTGGGGAGCTCTTTGGATCTTTGCCCAGTTTCCCTGTCAGCCCTCTACTCCTAGGGACCTCTCAGTTAGCCTCTCTTTTTTACTTCTGAATCACCGACTTTAGTTTAGAATGCCTGGCTTAACAGGCTTCACAGTGCTGACAGAGAAACTGAGCCTCAGGGAGGAAGAATGACTTGCTGGGATAGTTCCAGAACCCCTGTTACCATTCTATGCTCTTCTTGCATTCCCCTTCAGCCTCTGACTCTCACCCTGACCTACACAATTCTGGTCCCTTCACTCACATTTAAAGCTGGGCCAAGAAAAGTCCTATTTTATGGCACACTAAGTTGCCTGTGGAGTTTGCTTTTTTACTGCTTTAAACACTATCTCTGGAGGCAGCCATGACAGTGAGGATGACAGACCGAGCTTCTGGAAGGGCAGACTCAGGCTGCCTGAGAGCCTCAGACAGTTGCTTTTTGACCTGGTCTGGAGGATGAGGATTCACTACCTTTCCCAACACCTTGCTTTCAGCCCAGTGAAGCTTATCTTAGACTTCTGGCCTTCAGAACTGTGAGAGGATAAATGCCTATTGCCACCCACTTTGTAGTAATTTGTTATAGCAGCCTCAAAAAATGAACACACACCCTGAACTCCATCTTAGTATCTGCTTCCAGAGAACCCAACTTGCAGTGCCCCCCAACTCCAGGCTGTTGTGATGAATTTAAAAGCCAGACCCTACATGAGGGAGTATGTAGTGTCTGTACCCAGGGCTGAGGCTTGGATGGTTCCATTCTTCCACTGCATCATTTAAGACTCTGTCTGAGGTCCTACCTTTATCAGAAGCTTTTCCTGACAGTACAAGCTCTTGCTAAGCCTTTCTGAATCCCATCTTTGTACTTCTGATCCAAGGGGTATTCCAGAGAAATCTGTGTCCCACCTTCCCAACAAGCTGGGAGATCCCTGAGGATGGCAGTGAGGGGTGGAGGGCTCTGAGTTCCTATAGCAACCTGCACAGGGTTGGCCACAGAACAGGTGCTGGGAAACTGTTCTTTCTAAGGACAATGTCTATGTTTTTCAGACATTTTTGCTTGCTGTTTTTCATACACCATGTGCTATAAACTGAATGTTTGTGTCTCTCTGAAATTTTTGTATTGAAATCCTAACCCTTAAGGTGAAGGTATTAGGAGGTGAAGTCTTTGGGAGGTGATTATCCTGAGGGTAAGCCCTCAAGAATGGGATTCGTGATCTTATAATAAAAACCCTAGAAAGCTCCCTGGCCCCTTCTTCCCTGTGAAGACACATTGAGAAGGTACAGGCTATGAACCAGGAAGTGGATCTTCACAAGGCTCTGAATCTGCCAGTGCATTGATCTTGGACTTTCAACCTCCAAAACTGTGAGAAATAAATGTGTGTTTCTTATAAGCCACCCAACCTATGGTATTTTGTTATAGCAGCCCCAACAGACTAAGATACTATGCTGATCATATACAGGGTGGGGCAAACATAGCCTTACAATTGTGAGTACATGAAACACAGAGTTTATTTTTGTATTATTATTTATTAATTATTTTATTATCTTCTATACAAACAACTGTAAACCTACTTTTGCCCCACCCTGTACAGGGCACAGCCACTTCTGCAAGAACTACTCTTTCCTCTCAACAGTCAGGAGACAGGTGAGTCAAAACTCAAGGGACTTCATCCAGAACAAAATTATCTTGGTATATTATTAGTCCTCTGAAATGACTGGACACATTAGAATATTTTTCCATTTGGAACCAAAAAAGACTCCGAATAGCTGCAACAATCTTGAGAAAGAAGAACAAAGTTGAAGGGATCACAATATCAGATATCAAGTTATACTACAAAGCCACTGTAATCAAAACAGCCTGGTACTGGCACAAGAACAGGGGTATAGATCAATGGAACAGAACAGAGAACACAAAAATCAACCCAAGCTATTACACACTCAATTAATATTTCACAGAGGAGGCAAGAGCATACAATGGAGTAAAGATAGTCTCTTCAATAAATGGTGTTGGGAAAGTTGGACAGGTAACATGCAAAAAAATTAAACTAGATCACCAAATTACAACATACACAAAAACTCAAAATGCATAAAAGACTTAAATATAAAACATGAAACTATTAAAACCCTAGAAAAAAATGTAGGCAGCAAAATATAGGACATTTCAGGAGCAGAATTTTCACTGATACATCACCTAGGGCAAGAAAAACAAAGGAAAAAATAAACAAATGGGACTACATCAAAATAAAAAAGCTTCTGCACAGTGAAAGAAACCAGCATCAAAATGAAAAGGGAATTCACTGTATGGGAGAACATATTTGCCAACAATACATCTGATAAGGGGTTAATTTCCAATATATATAAAGTACTCTTACAACTCAACAAAAGGAAGACAAACAATCCCAATTAAAAAATGAGCAGAAGACCTTAATGGACACTTCTCCAAAGAGGACATACAAATGGCCAAGAGACATATGAAAAAACGCTCAACGTCTCTAATCATCAGAGAGATGCAAATTAAAACAATGAAGTCCTACTTCACACCTGCCAGAATGCCTATCCTTAATAAATCAACAAATGACAAGTGCTGCCGTGGGTATGGAGAAAAGGGAACCCTAATACACTGCTGGTGGAAATGCAGACTGGTGCAACCACTATGGAAAACCGTATNACCCCCTCCATCCATCTCCCACCTTTCCCCAGACCCCTGTCTGTCCATTGTCTGTGTCCGGGGGGTGTTCCTATATGCTTATGAGTTCTTTGGTTAATCTCTTTCTGCCCTCCTTCCCGCTTCCCCTCTGAGACGTAGGTCTATTTCATGCTTCCATGTCTGTGGTCCTATCTTGTTCGTCAATCTATGCTGTTCCTTAGATTCCACATATGATTTTTTTTAAAAGAATTTCTTTTTATGTTTTGTCAGCCACTGCCTTTTTACACTCAGGACTGGCTACATAATTTGTCGGGTCCAATGCAACATGAAAATATTGGGTAACCTGTTAAGAATTGCAAGACAGCCCAGCTGGGCATGGCTCCGCCGTTGAGCATCCACCTAGGATCCAGGAAATCTCGGTTCAATTCCTTGTCAGGGCACATGCTCAGATTGCAGGCTCCATCCCCAGTCGGGGGCTTGCAGGAGGCAGCCAATCAATGACAACTCCCTCATCATTGATGTTTCAACTCTCTCTCTCTCCCTTCCTCTCTCTGAAATCAATAAAGANTTAAAAAATGAGCAGAAGACCTTAATGGACACTTCTCCAAAGAGGACATACAAATGGCCAAGAGACATATGAAAAAACGCTCAACGTCTCTAATCATCAGAGAGATGCAAATTAAAACAATGAAGTCCTACTTCACACCTGCCAGAATGCCTATCCTTAATAAATCAACAAATGACAAGTGCTGCCGTGGGTATGGAGAAAAGGGAACCCTAATACACTGCTGGTGGAAATGCAGACTGGTGCAACCACTATGGAAAACCGTATGGAGGTTCCTCATATAAAAAATTAAATATTGAACTGCCATTTGACCCAGTGATCCCACTTCTAGGAATATATCCTAAGAAACCAGAAACGCCAATCAGAAAGAATTTATGCATCCCCATGTTCATAACAGTGCAATTTACAATGGCCAAGATCTGGAATCAGCCCAAGTGCCCATCAGTAGATGAATAGATTAAAAAGCTGTGGGACATTTACACCATGGAATACTCTGCAGCTGTAAAAAAGAAGGATCTCTTACCCTTTGAGACAGCATGGAGGGACCTGGAAAGCATTATGCTAAGCAAAATTATCCAGTCATAGAAAGATAAGTATCACATGATTTCACTATTATGTGGAATCTAATGAACAAAAACTGACCAACAAAAAAGATCCAGAGATATTGAAGCATGGAACAGGCTGTCGATTC